GGATACCCTCACAGACTTGGCTGCTTATTTTGAAGAAATGGGTCATCCAGAGGCTGGGGAAATACGGGCAAGGCAGGAATCCCTGGTTTCCCAGTTCAATGCACTGAAAGAACCACTGGCTCTCAGGAAGAAGAAGCTCATTGACCTCCTCCGCCTGCAACAGATTTGCAGAGACACAGAGGATGAGGAGGCCTGGATCCAGGAGACTGAGCCCTCAGCAACTTCCACCTACCTGGGTCAGTACCCCCTGGACAGACTTTGAGAGAACTGAGATTATAGCAGCATAGGGAAGGAAAGTGTGTTTTCAACTCCCTACCCTCCAAGTCAAAGAAATTTGTTATAAATTCGTACTGAAAAACTCCCCTCCCAAGTCCATATGTAGGAAGTACCATGAGTAGAGGGCTCTGGGAAGAGCTAGAGCCTTTTGGATACTTGCTCTAATACCTAAGTTATTGCAAAGGCCCTGTACTGAGAGGCTATTGTTTGTGTTTTAGGCACGAAGTGTTTTTTGTTTTGCCAGTGACCCCTTTTATAACTAAATGACCCATTATAAGGATGAAAGGGGTCAAGTAGCCAACAAAGCCCAGATTTTCCTGTGCTGTGGGAGTTGTCCACTTGCCAGAGTCGATGCTGGTATACTTGCAGCAAAGTACAGAACAATATGAAACATAAACATAGCACAATATGGAGTGCATGAAGTGAGGGTATTTCAGAGAGATGGATGATGGTGGCAGTAGAGAGATTAGTCTGGAAAACTTGCTAGAAGAGTAAAGACTAAGGATTATTAGAAGAGCATAGAGCATTCTATGGCATTTGGAACTGGAAGTACAGGGAAGGTAAGTTTGGGGGGGAGAAGCAGAACACAGACAGAGACAGGGAGGATGACAGTTGAGAGCGTGTGATCTTAGAGATGGAGGCAGCCATCATAAGTGACGGTTGAGTGCTTGTTCACATTGGGCCATAGTGAGGAACTTTTTAAGTTATATCTATTTTTTATAAGGAAAACTCCAAAATTATCAATAATGTTACCCATTTTAGGGTAAGAAATGGACATTTAGGATGTCAATAACCTCTGAAGTTCATGCTGTTTAGCAAGTGGCAGATCTTGCTTTTCCACACCTCATGCTCAAAGAAAATCAGTTGCTTGCTATTGGAAATTTGAGCTACAATGTCAGCATGCCCTTCTATCTACCTTGCAAAAAAAAAATTAGGGATTTCTTTATTATCTTTTATAAAATAATGAATTGGATTTTCTTATTACAAAAAGCCAAGAGGAAGAACAACATTGAGTATAGTTAATTCAAACAAGTGGCACCCATTTAAAGAATCCCACTGAATGACTAGAACTTCAAAGGGAAGAAAACGTAGGCCCAAGCGTTTGAAAAAAAGTGAAGTGTGTTATTTCTTTGAACCAAGATAACCCTAAAGCTCAGATTCCTTTTCTTTGTAGGCAAAGACCTGATTGCCTCCAAGAATCTTCTCAATAGGCACCAAGTCATCCTTGCTGACATTGCCAGTCATGAGCCACGCATCCAGGCGATAACAGACAGGGGGAACAAAATGATAGAGGAAGGTGCGTATGATTCAGCTTCGGTTGGTCAGTTGTCACCTTTGGGAAGACGTCTGCACCATCTTATGGCTTCACAGAAATGTAAGGCTATCAAACCCATTTCCCACTCAATTTAGAAATGTCCTTTTGGCATTTTTGATAGACAGGTATACAATTTTATTTGTATGTTCTAGGAACAGGTGTCTCCTCACCTCATGAGCTAGTCCTTCCTATTTTTTGTAAAGCCAAAATTATCATCAATGTGATGATTATCCATATGCTTCTCTGTAAACCTGACTTAATTCAGAATCAAAGTTCCAAAATTTTATTTAAAAAAAAAAAAAGATTCCTTAGTTTATGGAAGCTTCTGTTGGGCTGACCCCCCACAAGGCAGTCTAGAGCCTGCCTCAGGCATAAACGTAACAATCTCATTTTATTTCCTTCTCTCAGGGAATCCTCTGCCTAGTGTCTGAAAGTCATTTCTTCTTATTTTATGCTGTTTTCTAGTCATTTATTATATTCCTAAAAGGAGACCTTTTATGAGCAGATATGAAAACCTCTGAACTTTCTGTACAGCGTAGAGGGTGCTTGTTTTTGGAGCCAGGAACCATATTCACCACGTGTGTGTTCTGTTTTCAGGTGTGTGTATCACAGACAGTATCAGCCACTCAGCACCTCACACATCCCTGCTCCCATTAGTATCTGATGCTGCTTGATGTCATTTATGACATTCCAGTGCCTTAGAACTTCAGTGTGACATTAACTACATGCCATAGCATCCTCTCATCCCCTTTTCCTCTCCCAGGTCACCACAAAGACTAGAGTATGGTGATACTAGAGTATGGTGACATGTTCCATTTCTGCCTCATAGGACATTTTGCTGCAGAAGATGTAGCCTCTAGAGTCAAGAGTTTGAATGCAAACATGGAGTCCCTTCAGGCTCGGGCTGCGAGACGGCAGAACGATCTTGAGGCCAACGTCCAATTCCAGCAGTACCTGGCTGACCTACATGAGGCAGATGCATGGATCAGAGAGAAGGAACCTATTGTAGACAACACCAACTACGGGGCCGATGAAGAAGCAGCTGGGGTAAGAGGGCCTGAGGCGGGCGTTGTCCAAACCCCATCAAACGGTACCAACTTACTAATTTATGATTCGCTTAGATTATGCAACAGGCACAGGTGCTGTTAGAATATTTAGGGTCTCAAGAGGGATAACTTTTGGCCTCATCCTCTAGGATACCCTCATAGTTGCTAGAATTCTCAAAAGTTTCATGCATTTCTCTAACCCCACAGAGATCCATACATTCCTTAGAGATCATTTAAATACAAAAAGGTATAACTAGGGACCTATGCCTGTCGTGTTTCCATCCAAAACTTCTGAGAATAACTTTGGGATTTCAAGGTTATTTAAAACACATGGTTTTAAGGTTTAAGAACCTTGATTACTTTATTGTAGTATAACCAGACAGATATGTTGGGGCAAGATAAATCTCAGAGGGCACAATTACCCATGACACCTATTTATTTGATTTATGTATTTCCTTAGGGCAAGTCAGTACAGTATTTCACAAACCTTTGTCACTAGAAATAAATCGAAATGGCATATAAAGTCATGCTGATGTTTAATCTTACAAAATGGCATTATCAACAGTATCTACTTTTGAATCTGACATGTATTAATAAAGAGTTGTGCAATTTTCACTTTATTTTGTTTGAAATAGATGCATTGAGACTTATGAATGTTTTAATTCTAGTATTTGCTTGATACTTGTAAATTTAGGATTTAAAACAAACTAGTAGATGGAAAGTGTCTCTTACCAGGAATTAGGATAATGGTATAACCCAAGAGCTGAAATAGCCCTAAGACACTTAGTGGTCCTGTATGGCTTCTGATGACCCCCTCCCCCCATCCACCCACAATCTAGGCTCTTCTGAAGAAGCATGAGGCCTTCCTAGTGGACCTCAACGCATTTGGAAACAGCATGCAGGCTCTACGGGATCAGGCAGAGGCCTGCCAGGTACGGACCTCAGGGATGCTGAGAAGCACAACCTACCTCGGAGGAAAAGAAGTCTCCATTTCTTTACTTCCATAACCCAGGAAACAGTGGCAAATATATATATATATAAATATATATATATTATACATATATATATATGTATATATATATACACACAAAGGTCTATGAACCTTACAGATAGGGAGGGTAGCATCTCTATAGAATCTACAGATAGTTAGTCTACAAGAACTCCTGTATTATTATGTGCTTATGGGACTATATTTTGCTTTCCTTTTCACTTTTATATCTCTCTTCTTTCTTTCTCCTTTCCATTGTTTCTATCTGTCCTTCTTATATTCTTCCTTAAGTTCATTATTCACACACATTACATATGTATGTTGTATGTGTGCTGTATGCATGCATGTTATGAGGAAGCAGTATCTGAGTGATATAAAGTCAGAGGACTTGCTTGGAGAGATATATGTTCAACTCCAGTCTGAAGATAGGACAGGTATTTGCTATATGCCTGCTTATATTTTGCTTACCTGTCTCAAGACATGATACTTACAGGAAGCCACAATCAGAGGGGAACATACCTTGGAAAGCAAGTTGCTTAACAAAGAGAGATAAAAGTTGTTTGTTTTCAGTTTATGTTCCTAATTTTATTTTTATCAGTGGCCTTTCCAGGCCTGTAGATCAGCCATGTCTAAAAAGAGCAAGCTGATTTACATAAAATGTAAAGGTCTAGGGGCTGGAAGAACTGTGAGTAGAGACCAGGGAATGGAGAAGCTATGGGAGGCAGCAGGCTTTTCATGTTGACAAATGAGTTTCTGGAACCCTGACATGTATAATGTGTACACCTGACTTAGGAACTGGTGTCTGGGAGCATTTGTAAGTTCCAAGCAAACTCAACCATCACTTTGCCCACTCTGAGCTCCTACTACCCCATCTGTCTGTCCCCAGAGATGCGCTGGGGTGGAGCAAAAGGGCAACACAAGGTCCAGCCAGGGCTGCCCTCACCGGCCCCACCCCCACAACACCCTGCTGGTTGTGGAGAGAGGTGTTTCCTGCAGTGACTAACATGCTCTCCTCCCATGTGTTCAGCAACAACAGGCGGCACCTGTGGAGGGAGCAGCTCGAGAGGAGAGGGTGGTGGCTTTATATGACTTCCAGGCTCGGAGCCCCCGAGAAGTCACAATGAAGAAAGACGACGTCTTAACTCTGCTCAGCTCCATCAACCAGGTGACCTCCCCTTCTTCCCAGGAGCAAGGCACCTCTTCCCACGTCCTCTCCAACCCTGACAGATACCCATCTTTTGACCCATCAGCATTCCCAACTGCTGCCTCTCTTAAACAGACATAATCCCTGTCTGGCGCAGGAGCCTGCACTTGTCTGATGACAATACCAGTTTACAGCTAACAAAACGAAAGCTCAAAGAACTTACGTAATTACCCAGAGCCACGTGTAAGCGGAGTGGTGGTGCTGTGAAGTCTTCCTTTGCTCACTCCTCTTCCTGTAGGAACAGGCTGCAATGGCTGGGACCCTGTGAAGCCCAATCAGAAAGAAGTCTTTTGTTGACTTTTCTTTAGACCTCATGCCTGTGAGAACAGTGACAAAATATCAACTAGGATTTTGAAGCTATTTTTCATAAGAGCTTGAGTCATTTTTTTTTAAAGATTTATTTATTCATACAGAACTGGGGTACAGGCTAGAGATGCGGAGGGTGAGAGAATTCACCAGAGACAGAGCGGGGAGCAGAACAGGCAGATCGACGAAGTACACTGCTGAGGGGAGCAGCAGGCGGGTCAGGAGAGGTCTGCCACGCCTTGTGTCACCTCCAGGGCAGGCGGGATCGAACTCATGAGGAAGTGGTTTAAGCTTCTTAGTGCTGTGCTTTAATCCGCTGCGCCACCAGGGAGGGCCCAGAGCTTGAGTCATTTTTTATATTCACAATTATTGGGAAGAGAGGGGAGATAGTGTTTTTCAGAGAACAAAGTGGAATTTTTAGAGAAGCAAGAGGTTTCGTTCTTGAATAAGCAGCACCAGCACCCTTCCTCTTCACCAAGCCATCTCCTTTCACCACATTATTGTTTGAGGACATCAGTTCCAAGCAGTTCACCCTGGAATACCCCAAGATACTCAGTGGAGGTCAGGGTGACAGTAATATTATAAAGCACACACACATGAAATTCAAAGCCACACACAATTTTTAGGAGCTCTGGGAGAGGACTAGAGGAGATTATGTAATCCTCTGTGAAGCTTTCTACAGAGATGCTCTGCCTGCAGGGAGCCCAGTTCCATTCTGGTTCCACTGGTTTTGTAAATTCCAGTGTTCAAGTGTCCCACCATCAGAACTGTCTGGTTTCTGAAAACCTCATCATAGTGAAGGGTCTAATATCAAATGGTGGGTTCCTTGATCCCAGAGGCTCATCACAGCAGTTCTTAACTTACCCTCATTGCAATGTATGAAAATTATGTGCTCCCACAGCTGTGGCTTCTCTCAGCCACCAGCTGTGTCTGTGCCTAGAAACTTGTGGAAGTTGGACCCTCTCGTATGTATGGCTTCCCCAAGGACTGAGGAAGGACAGGGCTCTGCTTTCCCTCCAGGACTGGTGGAAAGTGGAAGCGGATGACCACCAGGGGTTTGTGCCAGCTGTCTACGTCAGGAAACTGGCCCATGATGAGTTTCCTACGCTCCCCCAGCGGCGGCGAGAAGAACCAGGCACTATCACCCAGCGCCAGGAGCAGATCGAGAGCCAGTGAGTTCTAGCAGCTGGAGAAGTGGACTTTGACCAAACACTTCCTACTGGCCAAAGACTCTTCTCCTGACTGCACCTATTAGTACTTCTAAAGTTACCAAAAAGTCTGACTTTTTTTTTTTTTTTTTT